CAATGCCAAAAATTCCCTCGAAGCGAAATACGACCCCAGTACTTCCCAACAGCTGACTACGCCCTGTCCCTCGCCCACAGCGAATGGTGTGCCGATACCCCAATCGGCTGCAAAGAAGGGACGATCCCACTGGCCCACTGAGCTGAAATTTGTTAAAGCTAAAGTATTTGGATTGTGTTTCAACAATCGTCAGCTTTTTTTGGGAATTCTTTTATCATTTTCAGACTGCAGTGAAGAACGCCTTCGCACCACCAACAGCCAAATTGAGAGAAAGCAGTACAGCGTAAGGGATTTTCTTCATTGCCTTACCTCCTTTTTTCCCTTCTTTTCTTTCCCGAGAACTGACCAGGTGTGCAGGCATTCGCTGCAAGCGCTCAGGATTAGCTCAGAAGTGTGATGAAGCTCAAAATGGGCGGAGAAACTAAGTGAGACTTTTCAGAGCTGGACAAGGTGTGGTGACGTCATCCAGAGAGTCATCACCTGAACAACGAAGTTTCCGTGAAATTGTAAGCTTAGCCAAATTTAGTCAGAAATGAGGCACAATTCTAGAGGCACATTTCAGGACTGGGGCAACACCGTCCATGAACTTCCGAGCCCTTCCGTTCCCGGGAGATATCCTGGACTGAAAAGGAAGATGCTTGGGGCTGCGTGGCGCGGTCACCAGGGCCCTACGATTTTAATTTCCACCCGATCTACTCCAAAACGATTTGCGATTGGAGCTGCGTCAGTGCAGCCTTGTTCGCTGCGGTTGCTGGGGTGTGTTAGGAGGAGGGGAGGCTATACTTGGCACAGCGCCAATCCTTCTCCAATTGTGGAAGCTGGTAAGCGATTCTAATTTGGTGTGAAAGTGGGTTTATGCCATGTCAAACTTCCCCCCCCCCACTGAAAAAGGCGGTACCTACTCTTTTTTCGTGATGACTCCTCCGCCCATGGGTCTCTCCTCGTTGGCAATCAGCTACAAGAGGAATATTCTTGATGGAGAATTTCCAGCGTGTTTTCTTTACCTCCTTCCACTGGACAATCCAACGATTTCGGTGGCCTTCTGATTTCACACTCTCTGGGTCGGTTCACATAGCAATTTTGATTTTCCGATATTAGAGGTAGCTTCCAGCTGAATTTACCATATACATCGAGGAGAGTTAGTTGGTAGGCATCAGGTATTTCTTCGATATCGCTCACCACTGTTACAGGGCACCTCCTTTTGCCCAGACTCCTCAGAGCCAAAGCTGGCACGCTTAGCCCACGCAGCCCTTCCCTCTAGGCGAGCGTACTAGCACTCAATTTTCAACACAAACTTCAATTTCGCGCTTTCATGGAATGTGCCCTGATCCAACCGCACAAATGATTTTCCAAGGCAAATGGAAAACCTTTTGGCAGATGTGTATTTTAGATTGGAGGCCATAAAGAAAGCGAATTGGTAAAGGATGAAATTATGGTGAAGAAAGCACCGAAAATATCTCTAGTTAAAGATACCAAGCAGCCACCATTCCTTCAGGCAATAAGTAAGATTCGTTCATTACAATATAATACAATATAGTAAATTGTTCAAAAATTAGTCCATAGCTCATGCGATGCCATGAACGACAGCAACCAATAGGCCTTTCCCCATGAGACACACCTTTTTCGGAAAAAGATGTTCCAATGAACAACGTGCAGTCGCTGTACCCCGCCCACACAATCAGCGTGAATGACTTTTTGTTCAGCTTGTAGATGACGGTAGGGATTCTCTGACTTTTCGCCAGGTAGCCTTGTAAGGTCCCCCTTTACGGGCACGTACTACTGCTCCATTATTGAGTAAGCATGGAGTTACTGTGCATAGCAGGGTACACCTAGGCAGGCTACCCTCTCTTTGAGAGTGTTGATGGAGGGGTACTGAAAGCATCATTGCCTTGTGGGAAATTTCCCCGTGGGAGAAAACTTTACTATGTTGTAGAAATTGTACCCTCACCTGCCTGAATCCTGGTCCCTACCATATGTGAGTTGAATGGCTCCACAGCTGCAGTTTAGTGCCAGCTCTCAATTGTGAACGAAACGGGGCTGTAGGGTAATGATTGCTGCCTCTATACTCCGCCCGGGTGCTGCAGGGCCAAACCCACGCCTAACCCCGGTCGGACGCGCTACTTGTCTGCCCTCTCTTCAGACTGCTCCCTGCCTCAGAATGCGTGTTTCGCTACGGGACTCTGGTACCAACGCAAGCGTTGCCTCTTGAGGATAGCGCAGGTGGAGTGCGGAGACGGCACCAGGGTACCCTCCAGCCCCGATTCCGTGCATTTCTGATTAGAGGGAGCGATACGCTACGGACTAATACACTTATGCCCTTTGCACTCGAAAAGGGTGTCTTTAAACGGAACATACCATCGAAAAAAAATTCCAATTCTAAGAAGAGTGGGTGAATACGACCCCTTTGGCTTAACACAACGATGATGAATCTTGGTTCCAGCTGTTCATTCGGTGATCCGTGCTCTCTGTGACCAAAACAGGATACTAGTGCTGCTTCTGGGCTGTGGTTTTTCATGACCACATTGGTTACCATTCTTCTTAAAATTCATTTCAGAGAAAGACCGGCCCGATACAGACCCGAAGAGGCAAGCAGAGAAGCCCGAAAAAGGTCGCTGTTGATCTCATTTCAATCTCTACTACCAGGCAGTGGTAGTTCGTGAATTAGAGATTGAATTGTCACTTTAGATGCCGCCCAGAGCCAGCTAAGTACGCCAAAAAGTGAACATCGTCCAACGGAGAATAAACCAGGTGGGTTCCTTAGTGCAGAGAAGGAAGGTTGTCTGCAAGAAAGTCTTGCTGAAGGATCTTTTTGATCACGGACGACACCTTGACAATTCTAAGCAAGCTATACGGCCACACACATACGCTTCTCGTCTCTCACCAAATTCGTGCTTGTTGGGTTTCATTGAGACCGCTGAGTCCTCCTTCAAATAAATTTCTGGTGTAGTTTGAACCAAAGAGGCCTCACTCACATCAGTTGCAGTCGCTGAAATCCATCTCGAGCAGGCTCCGAGCCACAATGGAACCCCTGTGGAAGGATTGTAAACCCCGCTGGAATCCATCTCGAGCGGGCTCCGAGCCCTGATTGAATCCCCTTTGCATGGGTTCCGACATGAGCGTATACCACGGATAGAAACGATATTTGGGGGGGGGAGGAGGGGGGGGGG